ATCACCCTAACATCGCACTCAAGCCTTACAAAAAGCACTGTTGGGGTACCATGGTACTTAGTCGTTTTAGATGGCTATACTATATGATTTACCTATTCATATTCCACAGAATCTACATGGTAATCCAAGTTACTTTAAACAACACCCTGGTATTTTGAACGTGTCAAAAAAAAACATAGTATTACCATTTTCATAAGTGAAGCCAATGTTGATATAACTGCACATACACAAACCTAAACACACATATTTCCGAACACTTGAACACATAAAGCCGTCGTGAGGCCAGTATGTCCCTCTGGTCGTTTATAGTCTCTGCCCTACATGGCCACAGCTTCTGGAATAGCAACTGTCATCTGATCTGACCACACAATCTCTCACCCGCTCGCCTGCTCACTCACTCGCTCTCTGAAACACTTTCTCTCTGTGAGAATAATACAAAAATAAGAAATGACACTAATACACAATAGGACCTGAAACTCGTGAGAGTCAAAAACGAGAAAATCTGTTTCTATTTCAACAGATGGTGAAAGGAATTGCTTAGCCTTTTAAATATGCAAGAACACAGTTTTAAAAACTGATATTTTCTTGCAGCACACACAAATCCAGATATATGAGAGGTCATAACCTAACAGAGCTATAAAACATTCTCACTTCACAAAATCTCACAATACTGAGAAAAATATACCATCTTAGATATATGGGTCATTCTCCGGAAATGCATTAAATATTTTAGAAAAAAACTATATATACGTATTCATAGGAGGTATGATATGCATACATAAGTATATAAGAAGTTATAAATAAAATAATGACTGACTATTGGAATAGGTTTTTACAAAAAAAAAGTTTTTCTACTTCAAAATTTTATATTTAATTCAATGCACTACTTGCCATTTCTTTGAAATTATTTGTGAAATTTACTAGCAATTTCTAAATGAAAATAGTTTTTACACTGAATTTGTTTTAGTGTAGGCAGTGAAAGCATGATATTTTCATTTCAACATATACCCAATTTAGTTAAAAGTCATTAAAGACAATTCAAATTATATATATATTCTTTCAAAATGTAGTGGTGACGAATGGGAATATGCAAATTGGTTCATATTTCCCTGAAAAATACAAATTTTAAAATAAACTAGTTTTATTTGAAAATGTATTTTGCTTCACATGCTAAAAGACTATATCTTGTAAATCATATTAGCAGTGAGTCATGTGGAAAAAAACTAATTGTGCAAAGTCAAGTCAAATAGATTTCTGTGCAAATGTCGACAATCTAAATCTGATCTAAACTTAAAGTGTGCCAATGAATTTTGCCATTGAGAACGACTGCCATGTCCTCATGATACCTGAGCCTTGACCAATAGATCAGTTCACACTCAGAAGCAACGGAAACATTGTAACTCAACTCAGCGACAGAAGTAGAAGCGGCCCTCACAACAAAAAATGACTGGCAGAAAGAAGCATCTTCACACCACCACAGGAACAGACGTCAACTTAATTTGATCAGCGATGACTTTTCCCACATGAATAACCATTTGTTAGCAAATAAGGATCTTTATATCTCCCTGTTTTACAGTGCAGCTAGCTGTATGATTGCTGTGTGCTGTATGTGTGGGTATTGTTTACATCTTGATGCATGTCAAAGATCATTTGAAGGTCAGGGTAATGTATGAAACTTCTGCCCTCCAAGCAGCAGCAAAATATGTTTCTTATAGTCTTAAAATAGGCATACTCTTTTCAACCTTTTAATAATATTCACCATATCGATTGTTATATTTGCTTTGAAATGGGTTATAATAATTATTTTCAATCAGTGCAACTGTAATTTGTATTTTCCACTAAATAAATACAAGAATGAATGACATTTATTCATGTACTAATGTCAATCACAGTAAATAGTCATTATCAACATTTACACCATTTTTGTTGCATTAAAATGTCTTAAAATGCCACGTGAGGACTTCAGCGATGAATCAGAAGCAGTTTTTTTTTTCATGGTCTAGAAAGAAGTCTAGTTTGAAAGAACTGATTTGCAGAAATAATTGGGATTTAGTAATGAGGTTTAAACCAGAAATCTATAATAATCGTCACGTACGCACTCATATAGTCTTGAGACTTAACCAGACAAATAAAAAGCAAATAAAGATTGCCTCGACACTCAAAATGTTGCTATATTTCCAACAAAACAATCACAACTAGAAATATTTACTATATAGTCATGTTCTACAGGCATAAAAAACAGAAACAAATGCAAATTTACAAGCTACCACAACATCAGATGCACCTTCTTATGTTTACTATACAGTAGCTAGAAGTCAATATTTAAATCATATATATATATATATATATATATATATATATATATATA